TCCAATTTTCATTTTTAAAATAACAACACACTTCCGAAATTTGTCTATTTTCTTTTTCCTCAACTTCAGAGATCATTTAGGAATTAATATTAACTCAAAGTGAAGAAACGAAAGCCTAGCAACTTTCTTGGTTTATTCAATTAAATGCAACAAACAATGGTGATTCCTACTTAAGAGTTTTTCAGGATATGTTCTTCAGTGTACATTTTTTTTCACTAATTTAATTGGGGTGGGGGTTATCAGGCATCATTTGTACAAGAAATATTGAAGCAAATACTCCAGAAATATACAAACAAACTATTAAAACAAGGAAACTTCTGACAGACAATACAGCTCTTTTTCAAAATCACTTTGTCACAGGGCATGCTATTAAAAACAAAACAAAAACTAGAACAGCTTCCTTTGGTTGCTAGAAAAAAAAAAAAAAAAACCCAGAACAGCAGGTAGGAGGGGAAATTGCATACAGATGGAAATGAAAAGACTTTCACTTAAAAAGACACACCGAATAGCAAAGTACTTGTGTTCACTAAGTACAAGAAGACATACTGAAAGAGTGAGAACCCCAAACGCCCACAAATAAGAAGGGGATGCCTATACATAACAATCAAAGATCAAGAGACAAGCCAAAGATAAAGCTGAGAAAGCTAGTGGTTTTAGAATGAGTGTATTTAGATCATATCACCAAAACTTTTAATCATTTAAATTACATGGCAATGATTTTTAGGGGAAAAATTAGTTTTTCACTTAAAAAACATTAACATAAAGCATTTTTAGCATTTTGGTGGTAGCTTGAAAATCTGCTGCATCAAAGTATATTTTCAAATAGAATTTCAAAGGCTTTGCCAACATATGATACAATGGCTCACATGTTAAAATTTACTTTTCATCTATAGTATATTTGACAAATGACTTACTATACTTCAAATCCTATTTAGAAACCCATGCTGGGCAGAGCAGTGGATTACATGCCTGTAATCCCGGCACTTTGGGAGGCCAAAAGAGGTGTATCACTTGAGGTCAGAAGTTTGAGATCAGCCTGGCGAACATGGCAAAACCCTGTCTCTACTAAAAATGCAAAAAACTTAGCCAGGCATGGTGGCGGACACCTGTAATCTCAGCTACTCGGCAGGCTGAGGTTGCAGTGAGCCGAGATCATTCTGCTGTACTCCAGCTTGGGTGACAGAACAAGAGTTCATCTCAAAAAAAAAAAAAAGAAACCCATGCTAAAGACTTCTCTAAATGCTGTTCTTGGAGGGATTAACTGCTACTTATTCTAAAGCAATAAATGATTATAGTAGAAATAACCCAAAGAATAAGAATGCATGAGTTCATTCTGATAAAAATAAATGAACAAATCAACAAGTGGGGGAGAATTCCTTGCAGTACAATTCCAACAACAAAAAAAGACATACCAAGAATGTTGGAATTAGAAAATCACCACATGTGTAAACAGTGATAGTAAGTTTCAGGTAAGTAAGACTAGTGGATGCTGTGGTAGACAGACCTAAAATGGCTTCCAGTAATCTCTGCTTCCTGGTACTCACAGCCCTACATAATCCCTCCAACTGCAGTGTGGGTAGGGCCTGTAACCTGCTTCTAATCATCAAAAAAGAACAAAGGTGATAGGATCTCACATAAGTGACTACTTCACATAAGATTGCAGTATCCTTGCTTGGTGACTCTTCCTTGCTGGCTTGGAGGAAGTACGTGGCCATGCTGGGGAGGCCCATGTGGCAAGAACTCAGGACAACCTCTAGCCAAGTGCCAGCTAGGAATACAGACCCTCAATCTGATAACCCACAAGGATCTGAATCTTTCCAACAACCACATAAGCTTGCAAGTTGATCATTCCCCAATCAAGTCTTCAGGTAAAAACACAGCTCTGCCCAACACTCTGCTGCATTGCCGAGGACGAAGAAAGCCATGCTCAGACTACTGACACATAGAAACTGAGATAATAAATGTGTTGTTTTAAGCTGCTAAATCTCTGATATTGTTAAGCAGTGACAGATTAACTAATAACGACATGCTAAAACTAGTGGGCAAAGGTACAATGTAAAACAAGATGTTTATAGAGTGAGTCTCAAAGTATCTTCACCCCCAAATTCTTATTAATTACAAAGGGGAAAAATGGTATCTTTACAGTGAAGAAACTTGTAGACATCAAATAAACCAAGAAATCACAGTTACCATCACCAATACTGTGATATACTGAAATCATGGGCTTCCAGATATCTTGCGGTAAAAATGGCATATCAATCCTGTGACTCCTGCCAAAAATGCACAACTTAAATCATGATTAAACACCGGAAATAAAAATTGAAAAACAATCTGCAGAATAGCCGGCATGCACTCAAAAGATGTCTAGTCATAAAAGACAAAGACTGAAGTACAATTCCAGATTAAAGAAGAGTAAATGAAAACTAAATGCAAATACAACATAACATGTGATCCTGGATTAGAACATCAGTGGAAGAATTATCAAATTTGGATAAAGTCTGATTAGATGATAATACTGTGCCAATGTAGATTTTCTATTAACTACTTTACCCTGTAGTACTTGCCTTTAGAAAATATCTTCTGAAGTTTGCTTGGTTGCTTGATTTTTTTTTTTCCCCCTTGAGACAGGGTCTTACTCTGTCCCACAGACTGGAGTACAGGGGTGCAATCATAGCTCATTGCAGCCTTGAAGTCCTGGCTCAAATTTGATTCTCCTGACTCAGCCTCTAGAGTAGCTGGGACCACAAGTATGCGCCACCACATCTGGTTAATTATTTTATTATTGTATAAAGACAGGGTCTCACTTTGTTGCCCTGGTCTCACTTTGTTGCTTGAACTCCTACACTCAAGCAATACTGCCTCAGCTCCAAAGTGCTGAGATTATAGGTATGAACCACTGCATCCAGCCTGCTCTGAAGTATTTAAAAGTGAATGAGGCATTATGTCTACAATTTATTCTTAGACATCCCACAAACACCAATTAGATAGATGTTAACATTTGGAGAATCTAGATAGAGGCTGTATCAAAATTCTTTGTACTACTTTTGCAATTTTTCTAAAAGTCTGCAATTAATATGTCATATAAATAAAATAAAAAGTTAAATAAATATATATGATTTTTTAAAAGTATGTATATGAGAAAAGTCTGTATGACGATATGGACCAATGAAAAGAAAGGAAGTACTGATCAATGCAACAAACATGAACTAACCTTAAAATACCATATATTATATGATTCCATTTATATGAATGTCCGGATATGGCCAAACTACAGAGATAGAAAGCAGATTACATGCTGGCAGGAGGAACCAGCATTACCCATATCAAGTAAGAGAGATCTCTCTGGGGTGAGGAAAATATTCTAAAATTGGATTATGGTGATGGTAGCACAACTCAGTAAATTTACTAAAAATCACTGAATTGTGCACTGAAAATGGGTAAAGTTTCTGGCCTGGTGTGGTGACTCACACCCAAAATCCTAACGCTTTGGGAGGCTGACGCAGGAGAACCACTTGAGCCCAGGAATTTGAGACCAGTCTGGGAAACATAGGGAGAACTTGTTTCTACAAAAAAAATATATAAAAATTTAAAAATTAGCCAGGAGTGCTGGTGTGTGCCCATACTCCCAGCTACTCCAGAAGCTGAGGTGAGAGGATCACTTGAGCCCAGGAGTTCAAGGTTGTAGTGAACTATGATTGTACCACTGCACTCCAGCCTGGGTGACACAGCAAGACCCTGTCAGGAAAGAAACACAAAGAAAAGAAAAAAAGGGAAAGGAAAAAAAAGAAAAAGAGATGGAGTTTAGAGTTTACGGCATGTAAACTATACCTCAATAAAGTTTTTTTTTTTGTTTTTTTTTTAATATGGGGGGCTGGGTGTGATGGCTCACACCTGTAATCCCAGCACTTAGTGTGGCTGAGGCAAGCGGATCACCTGAGGTCAGGAGTTCAAGACCAGCCTGGCTAACCCAGTCTCTACTAAAAATACAAAAATTGGGCAGGTGTGGTGGCGCATGCCTGTAATCCCAGTTACTTGGGAGGCTGAGGCAGGAGAATCACTTGAACCC